GGGGTGACCTTATCTCCAGAGACTCTTATCAGAGCAGAAGAGTTTCAGTGACTTGAATCTGCTTAACAACCTTAACAACCCTACCCTGGTTTACTCTGCTTTTCCTGGCAACCTCCAGTAACTGACTCTCTCCATCCCAAATGTTTTCTTTTGTCTCCAGTTGAAGACAGCAGTTAAGGTGGTCGCTTCAACCATTTTGGCAAGTTATTTAGTTTCCCTGAGTTTTTCCCATGTATATAGAAAGTATACATGTTAATAAACTTTTGTCTGTTTTCCTTCTGCTAATCTGTTTTTTATCATAGGGATGTCTCAGCCAAGACCTCAGAAGGGTAGAGGGGAAATTGATTTCCCTTCCCTACAGAGCAATAGGCCGTGCCCCATACTCTGGGTGTGCACAGGCTATAGAAACCATCTAGGTTTCTAAAGGTGCACTCTGATGTTCCCATAAGGATGAGATCACCTAAGGACACATTTCTCATACTGTATTCTGGTCTTTAAGCAGCACATCACTGTATTCATTACCAAAAAAACCCTATATTTATACTATCTTTTCATTTAGATGTGTAATACCTTTGCTAGTAGTTTTTATTTCTTTGTGCATATTTGAGCTACTGTCTAGTTTCTTTTCATTTCAGCCTAAAGGGCTTTTTTATTTATTTATTTTAAGGCACATCTGTAAGTGATTAATTCTTTAGTTTTTGTTTATCTGGCATTGTCTTAAATTCTTCTTCATTTTGAAGCATAATTTTGCTGCATGTAGAATTATCAGTTGATAATCATTCTTTTACTTTCAATATGCCACCTACTCCATGGATTTTTTTGGCTGTTAATATTGTTGTAGTTGTTGTTGTTTTTCCAGTGTTCTCATTGCTTTTATGGAGAAGCAGACTTTCAGAGGCCATATTTTGCCATTTCCAAATTTTTTTCCACTTGATTGTTAATCTAATTGTCAAAATTAACAATAAAATTCTTATAAGAAATTTTACTATTTGAGTAGTCAAACATTTCTTTAATAAGACGTATACGCACACACACACACACACACACACACACACCATAAAGGAAAAGTTTAACAAATTCAGCTACATGAAAATTAAATTATTCTCTTCACCAAAGACACTGAGAGTAATGTAGAAAAGCAAGTTTTTCACTAAGGGTGAAAAAAGGTATTTGCAATGCATGTAAACAGCCTCTTGTCCAGATTACGTATAGAAATCTTACAAATACATAGAAAAATGCAAACAATACAATAAAAAGGGGGGCAAAAAGCTTGAACATGAATGCCATTTTTAAAAGATATTCAACTGACTGATAAACATACGAAAGACACTAGATTTAATTTGTCATCAAGGAAATGAAAATCGATACTACAATAATTTCCTCCTACACAAAGAGCAGAATATCTAAAACTAAAAGGACTGACAATGCTAATAGTTGAGGAAGATATGGAACAATTACAACTCTCACACACCGTTGATGGGAATTAAATTGATCCGCCACTTTCGGAGGGTTTTGGGCAGTACCCAGTAAATCTGAGCACATGCCCACCTCGCGGCTCAGCAGTTCTTGCTCCCGAGTACATAACCGCAGAAATGCACATATGCGAACAAAAGTCATCACCTGGGAAGGGCATACACTGTACGTGAGAAAATAATCTCAGAATGACCAATACCAACATTCACTCTAGTAAAATTACTGAATTTTATAGGGGGGAGAAATCCTTTGGACATCCAAGCAAAAGACCGAGTTGCTTAAAGGGGAAAAGCTATCTGATTCTCATCAGATGTTTCAACAGTGATACTTTATGCTAGAAGATGCAGTAACATATGAAGACATTCAAGGGGGAAAAAATGTAAAGAATGAGAAGATGTGAAGAATTTTACTTCTAGCCAAGCTAATATAAAGGACAAAAAACTCTTATCAATATTCAAGAACTCGGGAAATAACTGTGCTAATGAGTAGATTCTTTTTAAAAATATATATATATCTTTATTGATTTCAGAGAGAGGAAGGAGAGGGAGAGAGAGATAGAAACATCAGTGATGAGAGTTATTGATAGGCTGCTCCCCCACACCCCCTGCTGG